TTAACACAAAATTAAGCTTGCAATGCACCATTAAATTATTTTACCCCTACTATGAGCTGTTCCTTAACTGTACATTATCACTCCTTCACGCAGCATAATACAATTAAACACATTAACCAAAGTAGCCCTTAGCTAGCAATTAGCAGTTAAGCTAGCCGATTAGCTAAGCGATTAGCCGCCTTAGCTTGTTAATTAGCAATTAAAGCTAGCGCGATTAGCATGCTGCTAGCGATTCAAGCCCGCTTAGTGTAAGAACACGATTAGCCCCGCTAGCTTTGGTTACTGCTGTTTATGTGTTTGGCGTAACTCTAGCCTAGCGTAAAGAGAATTTAGAAGGTATTAAACATGCTAGTGCGAGCTAGCTAAAGAGGGGATGACATGGTAGTTAATATATTGGGCCAGGAGGCAGGCACACTCAAAATTTCTTTAGGAATTTTCTTACGTTATTATTATATTATATTAATATTATTATTATTATTTGATTATTATTATATTATTATTATTATTATTATGCTATGTTTTATTTGTGTGGTTATCATTATTATCCCCTTGTTTGTTTCTATTTATTGTCACGACCCGGCCTCTTAAGTCATGACAAATATGGAGATACACCACTTTAAGGAATAACAAAAAGATAATTTATTGAACAAAAGTCAAATTATTGAAATGCAACAACTAAATATTTTACAAGTATCTAGAGGTGTGAATATCAGGGTAGTCAGTAGTGTAAGGCGGTGCTGCATGAGGGCACAATGTGTGCGTATGTTGTACAGTGGCAAGCAAAATATAAGGGGGAGGCCCACGCTGCAGTCCCTCAACACCACTGGCAGCGTGCCTGCAAAGAAAAGAACAACAAATTAGTACAAAACAAACAACAAATTAGGCCCAACTCAAAGCCATACGAACCATGAAGGCCAGCAGAGAGCTAGAATGCCGGCCACAGGGCCTTGCATACTATATAGCCTTGGGGAGCACCAGGCCCAGGTTTTCCCAGTTGGGGCAGCCAATTAACCAGTAACACCACCATCTGCTGGCACAAACAAACACCAAACACTCCGTGACCCCAGGGGGCGCCACATTATATACTTAATGTTATGTGTGATTTTGTTATTATTATTATTATCATTATTATTATATTTTTTTATTATTTTTTTATTTATTTTATTTTAGTTTAGGTTTTTTTTTATTTACTCACTTATTTATTTTCCTCCGAGAGGATTGTTTGTTATGAGAGGGAGGGAAGGGATTTTACGACTGTTATTGTTTGTTCATTGTGTATTGTTTGTTGAAAACGACCAAAAACTCAATACATAAATAAAAAAAAGATGATATTTGTATACTAACAGTGGGGCAGTTAGTTTGATTTTATTTCTTTGGTACTTCAGTAGCTTGAGGAACAGTTTAGAGAGTAGGAATCAATCTCTAAAATCACATCTCTAAATAATAAAGGCATCTATTAATAATTAGAAATTCGTTGTATTTTACTGATGCAAAGATATTGCACCGATGTGAATCAATGAATCTCACCATCCCTTGTGTGAACTGAGGAAAAGACACATCCTTGTGAGTTTAATATTTCAGCTTGTGAAAAATAAGTTTTGCAGTCATCCCAAGGCTGTATGACTCTACTTAATAAGCAGAGGCTTTTCTCGGTGGAAAAGATGTTTTACTCTAATACTGACTGGCTTCAGTAAGAGTTTGACTATGTTATATGGTTTGTTGATCTGACTGGCTGAAGTTTGCCTGCGATACACATATCTATGATAGACAGGTGGTCCATCCAATTGCCTGCCAAGTAGTATCTGAAAGTGCCTGCCCTTTTCTAACAGTTTCCAGCGAAGACTTTGTTGTGCAGTCAGGTTAGGTCAAAATACAGAATGCGCTTTTTTCCAGTTTGGTCATTCACAAGCTACATTTGTATTTTTTCAGCGTAAGACAAATAAATCTGGACATGATGTGGAACTCCAACCCTGGAAATTCTAGACCATGTGTGTTTTTCTTTACACTATATGATTCTGTCTGTTGATGTACGGGCCATTGTGGATGGTGACCTACAAACACAAACCAACACAAATTGGTGATATATGACAGGACAAATTGTTCCTTAAGGCAGAGAGAGAGAATGAGGAGAGAATGATGAGGCATGTATAGGGTGGGTAAAGGTCTCTCTCTCTCTCTCTCTCTCTCTCTCTTTTATAGAGGTTTCGGGGAGGAAATAAACAGCAATCACTGTAGCATGACGAGAGGCAGAGAGCAGCCTGCTTTAATTGAGCTCTCACTTTCCTGTCTGCCCCCCCAGCTGTTTCCACTGCTGGAGACAAGGATTTGGAGAGCACTGCAGCACCATTACAATACACACTACAGAAAGATTGCAGATGACTGTGTTACTTACGGGGGCTTCACTCAGAAATCATTATGGCATCGCACACATTAACACATGAAGCATACTTTAAATATGATGAATACATGTCATATACACAAACATGTCAAAAATACACTAATCAGTGTCCGAAAAGGAAGCACAGGGATAATGTGCAGCGGACCTTAAGATGATTCGGTGTTCACATCAATGATGCTTGGTGCTCAAACGCAGTCAAAGTTGGATAATGTTTCCCAGGTGTGGAATTTATTCTTCTTCCTTTCGGTGACAAGTTTTAAGGGAAAGTTTGTGGGTGGGGTAGAAAATATGTCAACTGTGCCCAGGTTGAATTCCAACCTGCAACCCTTTGGTGCCTGTCATTCCCCCTCCCTCTCTTCCCCTTTCCTATTTTTACCTGTCCTATCAAAATAAAGGCATAAAAAGCCAAATATATATATATTAAAAAAAGGAAAATATGTCCTACTTTCGTTAATCAGCATTCTTTCTGTGATTGTTACATTCAGATCAATGGAACCTTTTGTGCTCATTTTATCATTTTAGTTCAGTTCAACTGTTGAGGCTGTCATATCACAAAACCTTGAATTTGTCTGACAGAGACTTCTATGCCCATCTCCCTTAGACCACCACCATCATGCATCTCCAACCAATAAATACCAGATATGCCAGCTGATTGATCAGTTGCATCAATCAGGCTAATGATGTCATAGCTCTACACTGTGGTTGGGGTGATGGGACAATAAAAACTCTAATAAGAACTAAACTACCTAAAACACAAGTAAATGGAAGCAGTCTGCAGTCTCCACCCTGCTGCCCATGAGCCTACTTATTACTTTGTGGCTCTCACCTAATTGACCTTTTCACTTGCATGCGTCCTAGTGTTCTTGTGCTACATATAGACTGGAGA